AAAAGAAAGAGACGCGAGGAAGAGAGGAGAGGAGAGAGAAGCAGAAAAGAGGAGAGGGAAGAAGAAGAGAGGCGGGGTGAGAGGAGAGAGAGAGAACTCAAAAATAAATGAGGGGGGGGGGGGCGCCGAAAATATTCAGGTTTGGGGGGATTTTGTTTTTTTTTTAAAACTTAAAATCCGTCGGAAAGGTATTAAATTCCGTCGGAAAATATAACACCTTCCGACAGATTTTCCGTCGGAATTAAAGAATTTTTCGACAGATTACAATTCCGTCGGAAATTTCCGACGAAAATAAAATCCATCAGAATTTTTGTACTTTCCGACGGATTTTAGTGTCCGTCGGAACCGTTCCGTCGGAAATGACCTGTTTTCTAGTAGTGCCTATATTTGAGGTTGGATAGACATTTGCGGCTAATGATGTCTGAGGAGCTTCCTGTGTCAATCAAGATGCAACCAACCAATTGATTGGCCACTTTACATTCTATGACTACAGGGTCATCATGCGGCCGACGGACTTTGCCTCTGTCCTTTTCGGTGATGATGATTTTAGGGAAGGCGGATGTGCTGGCCTCCTGTCCCTCTTCAACTGAATGGACCATCTTTCTTAGATGGTCCTTTTTGCCCCGGATGGTTGGACCACCACCGGCGAATCCGTCTGCTATCGTATAAACTGGTTCCTCATCCGTTTCAGAGTTGGTAGCAGGCTGGGGAGTCTTTTTGCTCGACTTCCCAAGATTCAATTTTGAAGCCACTTTGGGTATAACATAGGATTTCAGCGCTCCTTTGTCAACCAGACGGTCAAGCGTCCGCTTGAGGCTGAAGCAGTCGTTTGTGTCATGGCCGACATCCTCATGGTAGTGACAGTGCTTGTTCTTGTTCTGATTTTCAACGGAACCTTTCATAGGAGTCGGCTTCTCTAGAGTCAGCCGATCCTTAATCTCCATGAGGATGGAGTAGCTGTTCTTGTGGAACTCGTACCTTGGAAAATACGGCTTTCACTCTTTCTTTTTCTTCTGGGCCGGCTGATCGAAGTTATCAACCACCCAGATCTGTTTTTTCTTTTTGCTCTCTTCTTGTTTTAGAAACGGCTGAGCAACCCGACTCTTCTTCTGTCGGTCAGACTTCTTAGATTCCGATTGTTTATTAGAGGAGCAGAGCTCGGTCACCTGTATATAAGCATCCGCCTCCATTAGGGCTCCTTGGAGGGTGAAGATTTTCTTGCGGACGAGTTCGAACTTGAAAGTCGACCCCTCCTTCAGACCTTTAAAAAAGTCTGTAAAAGCTAATTCGTCAGACAGTCCTTGGATCTGGATTCTCACCAGATTGAACCGCCTAACGTATGATCGCAGCCCCTCTCTATCTCCCTGTTGTACATGGCCTAGATCAAGGCTCGTTTTCTTTGCAGGGATGGTCATAGAGAAGTTAGAAGCAAACAAGAACACAAGTCTCTTGAAGCTGTTTATGCAACCAGCCGGGAGATTACCGAACCACTGCTGGGCTATGCCCTTTAGTGTGGCTGGGAAGCATCGACACCAGGCAATATCATCCAATGTTAACCCTTGTAAGTACATGAGGTGGGTGTATGCCAAGAGGTGGTCTTCTGGGTTGGAGGTACCATCATAGGTTCCAACATGACATTTTTCACCTTGGCCCACTATTCGGCCTCGGCTATTTCCCTGGAGAATGTAGAGGGCTGCTCCCTAAGGTTTTGTAGCCGAAGCTTCACAAAGGCTGATAGTTATATGCCGCCTGTCCTCCGAAGAAGGCGTGCTAGATGTAGTGCAAAGCAGGCGGTCTATATAATGGCTGTGCCATGTACTACGCCGAATTGATCACATGAGGCCCCGACTATACGAGGGGGCCGCTTAAAGGAGTCCCCGGTACTGAAGAGGAGTTCCTCACCGAGGTATTCTGAAAGCTGTCGTAATAAGTCGACGTAGAAGACGACTCCGACAGCTGCTGATTCCTTAGCCGGTCAATGTACTGACGAGCATCTGGAAATGATTTTTTGCTACCATCCGGTAGTACATGCCTAATGGCCTTTCTTGTCACCATTTCAGGGACACGGAGTCTTGACAGATCAAACTGGGGCTGAGCCTTCTCCTTTGGAGTAGGGTGAGGAGTCGGCTGTCGGTCCCGAACTGACTTCTGTTGTCCAGATTTGGCAGGCTTGGTAGCCGACTGTTCCTTTCTAGGAGAAACCGTCTGCTTGTTGATTAGTCCCTTAATTTCACCCTTAAGACTACTCATAAACTTCATGAGCTCATCACGAGTGACTAGGGCTGATCTTGTTGCCTGGGAGGCATCAATCGGCTGCCCCGAGGGCTTACTTGAGGGTCTAGGGGGCCTGTTAGGACCCGTCTGGTTAGTATTGCGCTCCCGTCTGTCTTTGTGACGGAGGCGCTTAGAGACTAGTGACCTGTCTTGGGCCACGTAGGTTTCAACGTCTCCGTCGTCACCTGAGTCATGGTCCGTCTGGACCTCTATTTCTTCCAGAGGCCGAGTGGTCTCTGGAGGCGGCAGAGGTTGTTCTTGGGAAGCCATTATAGAGGTACTCTCCCCACAAAGAAAACGGAGCGCCAAATGGTCGGTGGTCCGCCTCCGAAGATTAAGTTAGTACGGTATTCGGAATAAAACGTGCGGAAATTATGTTATCTGCTCGGATTCCAAGCTCAGGTACTGTCTGTTTCTAGAGAACGACAGCTCTGTAATGATTGCAGTAATTAGTGAAACGTAACGTGTCCCCATAAATGAGGGGAATGTCCCTATTTATAGGGTCTTTGGGAAGTGTGCCCTCCCTAGGGTTTGATGACCTAGGGATTAGAGCACGTCGCTTTGCGGCGCCTCAAAGTTTGGGCCTTGAAGGCCGTCTTTTCAGAAGGAATATCTGAGTGACATGTGTCACACATTTGGAGAGGCCATTTGGGCGCCTCTAGGGCGACACGTGTCGCTCTCTCATTGGTCCACTTGGGGTTATTAAATCTCCCAAGTTAGGAGTATATCCGTTTGACACGTGTCACCATCTGAAGGGTCCAGGTTGGCGCCCCTTCCAGTGACACATGTCAAACTCTGATTGGGCCACTTGGCAGGGTATAAAATACCCAAAACAATATATATGTAGTAAATGAGTAAGAGATAATATTTATCTAGTTATGACAAGGTGTAGAGTATTCCAAAATCTAGAGTGAAATGAAATTTAATAAATTTTGTGAATCAATCTAAGAACATTCAAATTAAAGGTGATAGTCTTCTAGTTATTTATGCAATTAAAGGAATATGGGCAGTATTTTGATAGATTGTGTCCCTGTTCTTTTGAGCTTCTGGGTAGAGCACAACAAATTTCAGCAGAGCAAAGTAGAGCATAACATATTTCATTATTATTATTATTATTATTATTATTACATTATTATAAACATTAAATATTATTATTAAAAATTAATAATTATTACTCCGTATTATTTTTAAATATTAGTTATTATATTAAAATTTTAATTTTCATTATAAAAGATCAATTACTATTATTATTATTATTATTATTACTAATATTATTATTAATAATAATAATAATAATTAATATTATAATTCTTAATTATTTATTAATATTATTATTCAATATTAATTATTATTATAATTATTAAATAATATTTATTTATTATTATTAAATATTAACTATTTATTATAATTATTAAATATTAGTTATTTATTATTATTTTTATCATTAAATATTAATTATTTATTATTATCATTACGAAATATTTATTTGTGATATTATTATTATTATTAAATATTAATATTAATTATTATTATTTCTAAATATTAATTATTTATTATGATTATTATTAAATATTAATTTTTGATAATTTTATTATTATTAAATATTAATTATTTATTATTATTATTATAAAATATTAATTTTATTATTATTATTATATATTAATTAATTATTATTATTAAATATTAATTATTATTATTATAATAATTCAATATTAATTATTATTATTAAATATTAATAATTATTATAATAATTCAATATTAAGTATTATTTTTAAGTAGAGCAGGGCAGGGCAGAGCAGAGCAGAGCAGATTGAAGCAGAGCAGAGTAGATTGATGCATAGCAAAAAAAACTCTTAAAAACGGGGCCTGAGCATGTTATTAAAGATTCTCTCTCTCTCCTCACCTAACTTCATAATTTAAGTATCCAACACATCTATCGTCAGACAAATTGTGCAGCAAATTGGATCGCTAATGTTATGGAAAGTGCCTTTGTTGATGTTGAATCAAACCTTGTCCACTCGCCGCAAGAATCTAGCTTTTTCAAGGATGAGTTCCAAGTGCAGATTTCCAAAGAGAAGAATTTTAGTTTGTCAATTAGGAAAGACCCCGTTCAACCTCTACTAGAGTTCAAAAGTAAGTCGAGGAGGAAAGACTCTTTAGAAGCCAATGACCATTTTTTCAGTCTTCAAAAAAGGAGTACCAGAGAAAGGATTCGGAAGCAAAGAAAGAGTTTGCACACTAACCATGCCTATCCTATCATAAAGTCCAATTTTCATGCAGGTATGAAGAGGAAAGGTGGTACATCAATGAATCTCTCCTGCCATCCAAACAAGAAGCTTAATTTTATTTGCCGTGTTTGTACTTTTAATTTCAATTGTTGTAGTATGTGTATCTCATGTAAGGCTACTCAAAATCTAGCAAGTGCCACTAGAGATGAGTAGTAGTCTTATGTCTTAATTGTTTACTACATTGTCAAAAAAAAAAAAAACAAATCTAATTTGTTAGACAAATTGTGAACAATTCTAAAGATTCTCTCTCTCCTCACCTAGCTTCACAATTTAAGTATCCAACACATCTATCGTTAGACAAATTGTTTAGCAAATTGGATCGCTAATGTAGGACAGTAGTTCCGGATAATATGAATATTAATGTTTGTAACAATTCTAATTTATTTTCAATTCTTTGTTATAAGTATAAGTACCCTGTGCGACTCATGAGGAGGTCCTAATAACTTTCTCTTTCAAAAAAAAAAAAATTCTTAGAATTGTGCAATTTGTGCAAAAAGTGAATCACTACACTCTGGTAAACAAAGTAGCGAATGAACGTAGTGGTCACTGGTCAGTGCCTTAAAATTCACTCAAACCGCCACTCTCATTTGATTCATTTCTCAGTTGCAAATGCAGTATTTTCTCTGCTCATTCAATTTCTATAAAATATCCATTAATGGCGGATTCATCAACCAACTCCCGCAAAGATGGAACTCTAACCTACATCTATCTACTCATTTACATCGCGCTTTCTAGTGGTCAGATCTTCTTCAACAAGGTCTATTTTCTCTCTCCTCTTATCGTTCTTCTTCCTCTTTTAATTGGTAAATTAATTGTTAATGTTTCTTTCAATGTGTGGATCTGCGTATTTCTGTTATTCGATTTCGCTATTGAATTTATTGATGTTCTGAATTTTGATTTTTATTTTCTTTGTTAAACTTGATATGATTTCTGGTATTGCATTTTAGCTTGGAATTCATATGTTAATGTTGGGAAAAGTATTTTGTTGTTGTAGAATTTGAATTGAAAGTGAACGATCGGATTTTTGAGGGTTTTTAGTTTGATAGTAAGAGCCAATTATTAAGGTTTCAATTGGTTTACTTCACATTAGTGAGTTTGCAACATTTGGCTGTTCCGCCGTAATTTAGAAAGCAGCCATTGCCATTTGCAGGGTTTTGGGAGGTCTAGATCTTAACTGGTCCATGATTTTAATTGGTGGGCGGACGATTTGATTCTCTATCGAGATTTTCATTTTTTTATAAATGATTTCGGCAAGTTTGTGGATATTCTTTGGTGAGCTCTTAAGTAATTAGATAAGGAATTTTCCTCCTCTTTCTTTATGCGAATTAATGCTAGGATTTTAATTCACCATTTTAATGAAAGAATGGCAAGAGGAACTAAATAGGGCCATGACAAGAGCCAACCAAACTAACAAGTTAATGAACTTGGACAAAGAATTCAAGAAAATACAAATCATTTTTTTTTTTTGTTTTAAAGCTAATGATCTCAGGCAGCTATAAGGAACACCCCTTTTTTTTTGGGTATATTCCTAGGCATTTGGAACTTAGATTTTTGCAATATTATGATGCAGAACACTCCATTTGAAATACAAATTAACAATTCTGCTTCTACTCTTATAATCTAAATGATTTAATTGGTCAGAAAGATTGTATGGCTCTTCCCAGAAACATCCAATGATTTTCATTCCACCAAACCTGGTGCTTAAATGCTTATAGCATACTCATAGTGTCCCATGTGTTGATGTATGTGGTAATCAATGGGAGAAATAAGCTCCTCCCGTAGTTGCCACACCTGATACATATTATGTCTATGAAGATGATAACATAAGGTGCATATGCATTTTTTTTTGCAAGTGTCCTACTAGTCTCATAGTTTTGTCTTGAGCGAGTGCAACCCTATACTTACTCTCCAACCCGATGGTTATTGCTCTAAGGTTCGTTATTGCTCTGAGTGGCTAAAATTTGCTATGGTACTTCTGGACAAATAAACCCTTGTAAAAGCCATTGCAGTTTCACACATAAAAAGCCCTAGTTGAAGGATCATGAATAAGGCAAATATTGAACAACAGATAAACTAGCTACAAATGAGAGTTGTTTTCACCCTTAGTTTTAAAAAGTGTGCCTGCCTTGCTCCTGGGAGATTGGCTTTAGCTAGGCGAGGCTTAGTCACCTAGGGAAGGCGGGCGCCTCTAAGCGCTTTTGGTAAGGCACGGTTTTGCACCTCAAGGAAAATAACTAAGATTTAAGCTATAAATTGAAGAATGATGAACATTTTTTCAAATTCAGACTACCTTAGGTTTACATATACCATTATTAAATTTATGATGAATCTTTTAAATTAGTATTAAGTACAATCAAAGTAAAAAATAATTTGAAATAAATATATAAATACATGCGCCTTGCATACAAAAGGCGTGCACCTTTGCCTTGTGCGCGCGTGGCTGCATGGACCATTTGCGCCTTGATGCGCCTTGTGCCTTTTAAAACTAAGTTTTCACCTGTGTTGATTTATTTATGCTTTAAGTAGTAATGATTAGAATATGCAAGTGTGCTACACTTCTACATGAGGGAGAAGTAGAGAGATGCGCTATTCAATAATTTATAGCTAAATAGTGATATTTTGTCAACCTTGACAGACTATCGTTCAAACTGTAAGAAGAAAAACTCCGATATCAAGACATTGATTTAGATGGATTATCAACCAAAGCACCAATAGTAAAAGATTCTTTAGAAGTATACTTGTTGAACCAATCAAATATAGAGGAATGCTTGAAGGAATACAATGAGGAAAAAGCAGAGCTACTCTTAAGGGTTACTACCACTACAAATATACTACTAATAACTTCTCCAACAACATGAAGCTACTGTTGCATTACTAATCCTTTATTTATATCAAGCTTTCTCTCACAAAGTACTCTCACATTAATATTTTGTCATGTACCTGCGAGTGCAACCTTCACACAGAAATACTCCTTGCCACACTCTTCGGTGGATTATTAAAATTCTTCGTCTTTACACTTTACTGCTGCCGTTGGTCTTGTCCCTTGCTCTTTTGTTTGTGCCTCCTCTCTTATACCCGGATAGGTGGTTGTTGGTGTGCTTCGACTCGTTCCATAGCAGTAAGTTGGTGTAAAATACATATAAATCTCAGCGACCAAGGCTAAACATGTGAAAGCAACTTAATACACTTTAGATGGAAGTGGAAGCTTCGTTCTTGGCTTCTTCCTTAGTTCTCTTCTGCTAATTTACATTCAATCGTTTTACGACTTACTCTTAAAGAAATCACCACCCTGTTAATGTGAATTAAAAATGAGTGGAAGACATTGCATAAGTCAATATAACATGGTAAATTTGTTGAAGGAAAATTCAAGTACTATATCTTTTCTTAAGATAGGTGAATAAGCCTTAGGTTTTTCTTCACATGCTCTAAAGACCCAATGCCATAATCTTGACCTCTAAGAATTTTGGATATGATATTTCCATATGATATTATGATATTACTTTCTATAGTGGTCAAGGGAAAGTTGGGCTTTCTTTTGTGTTAAAGAAAAAAGAAATCCCTTGACACTAACCTAACTTGTGTGATTTAATAGATCAAACCCTTGAAAGTCCAATCCTTTGACATATCATGTGATGTTGTGTCACGATGTTAGTTAAGGTTTTTGCTAATTATTGGTAGTCATTGTGAAATCATTAAGTTATTGTTCCTTTGATGTAAAAAGAAAAAGGAACTTTATATTCTTGTTGTAATACCCCCTCCCCATATAGACTAACACATTAGCACCTTTGTTTTTACCTATGTGCACCTTTGGGCAATTCCATTTTGAATTTTCTCACACCAAATAGGGCATTGATGAGCTCAAAGGGCTCACCTTAATGGTATAGTTAGTATCTTTTTTGTACACTAAGCGATGAATTTTGGGAGATCTCTCTTTTCTATAATTATTGCTCATTCAAAAATCAGTACACAAATAATGACTAAGGGTCTTACTTCAAAGCATATTTTATCACACGTGGGTAAGAGATTAGAGAGACCTTTTAAAGAAGGGGAATTTTAAAAAGCAGTGTTAGCATGGGACAACGACAAGTCACCGAGTCTTGTTGGTTTTACTTTGACTTTTATGTCAATGGTTGTTGGGTTGTGATTAATTGCTGGCTGTTTGGGCATAATTTAATTTCATTGTTTTTGGTACCTAAAAAGGATTGTTCATTAAGGTTAAAGATTATAGGCCATTTAGTTTGCTGTCTATAGTGCATTCAATATAGCCACCAAAGTGTTGGAAACCTGGTTAGAACAAGTTCTTTCTTATATATCAGCAGTTCCAATGAGCTTTGTAGTGGATAAACAAATTCTTTATGCAGTTGTCATGGATAATAAAGCTATGGATAAGGCTTATTGGCACCGCAACTTCGCAAGTGTTTTGAAGGGCTGGTTTTTCGCGTTATTAAGACCTATGATAGTGTGAATTGGGTCTTTCGTGATAGCGTCTATGAGAACAATGGTTTTGACGTCCGATTTAGCATTTGATGGAGGCATTGCATAAATGTATGTTAATCTAATCCGTTCTTTTTTTGTTATGGTAAATGGTGCTCCTATGGAATGTTTCCTTCATGTAGAGGGTCAATACAGGGAGATCTTTAGACACTTCTCTTTACTTTTGTGGTTGATGTCTTGGGAGATCATTGGGACTATTGGAGAATGGGGTTTTAAGGGGCTTGATCAGAGATTTTAAAGTTAGGAGAGAGGATGTTCAAGTGTCTTACTTGCAATACGTTGATAAAAATATTCCCTTCCTTGAATCTGGTTTTAAGAATTTTAAGATGATGCTTTATCTCCTCAGATTTTTGAGGTGTTATTTGGTTTAAGAATTAAATAATCTAAATGTAGTGTAATAAGAAATTGTGTTGCGAGCTATGCTACTTTAGTGGTGTGTCAATTAAAAAGTTGGTTTATTAGTTATCTTGGGTTGCCCTACTTTATTAGTTGCCAATGATACCCATCTTCCGTTGAGTTAATTCAATATCTTTTCAGCTTATTAAACTTGAATAGCGGAGTCTGAGGTTTTGTCATTTATTAAATGCAGTGGGTTTTGTCGTCAAAGGAAATAAACTTTCCTTACCCTCTTGGATTGACTCTTCTTCACATGGTCTTTTCCTCTGTTTTATGCTTTGTGCTGACAAAGGTTCTAAAGGTACTTTTTGTTCAATTTCTCAGTTTATATTATTGTGATCAATTTTTATTTTTTTTTACCTTTTCAATTCTTATTTTAAAATATCTCTCTCTTTCAGATTTTAAAAGTTGAAGAAGGGATGACCATGGAAGTGTAAGAATAAATTGTACACATTACTGTTTCATTCTTATGTGTCTGCACTTCAGTTTGATTCTTTGATTATACTAACAAAATAATGTTTTTTTTGGTTAAATTAAAAAATCAAAATTTGGCATTGTTAATTCATTTCAAAGTTGAGGTATCTTCTCAAATTAATCTCAAGTTTGAGGTATCTTCTCCAATTTTTTTATTTTTATTTTTTATATCTGTTCTCTTTCTACCCCCCTAACCTTGCCAGTTGTCATGTTGGACATGGGTACTCGAGTATGAGTATACACATGTGTACTCGTGAGAAGAAAGAGTGTACACAGAGGAAGCCAAGCTATCATCAGCTGCAAACTCTATTATTATTAGAAAACGCAAATCCTTTAAATTACAGAAATATAACAAACCTTAAAATCCCCAATTGTCATCACCCATCCTGAAGTTAAATATAGCTCAAAGAAAACCATTTGATGCACGGTATCTGGACTACAGGAAGATTTCATCTCAACCAGATTCACCCTATAAAGTTGTAATTGCCATCAAAGCATTCCGTCCCTGCAACTTCTCAATGACCCCTTAACTCCACAATGTTTGAAGCTATAATCTGTACTGTGTTTGCAGTTCTCGTTCTAAAAAGTGAGGAAGATTTATTATGATTCCTTCCTATTATCTCTATGTTATTTGTTCAAGATGTTTTTCTGAGATCCTTAGCAGGCAAAATTAGCAGAACTTTAAAACATTTATGGTACAGTTGTCAGTGTAAATTTGAATTGTTGCCTAAGTTTGTTTTGAAACAACAAGCCTACATTAATATTATATGGATTTTAGCTACATAACTGATGCAGTAGAAATTATATTGTGAACAGATGTCTTCCCTCATCAATCCTTGATTAGAGTAGGAGTTAAAATTTGTTTGAGTTGGGAGCTAACTTGGTAAATCATGTCAATTATGAATAGATGCTATTTTTATGCTTCAGTTATCATGGAGTGGAAATGCAAGCTCTGTGATAACTGAATGATTACATCATTGCTTATGGCATTCCATCACCTTGATTACTTGAGAAAATAATTCTGTGATTCACATTGAAAAATTACGGTCAAGTTTAATTACTACTTTTTAGTATCTCTCTTAATTTGCTTATTGAAGCTGAAACAAAAGTCGCATTAAATTTATATTGAACTTACTATTTTTTCCCTTCTAAATGAATACACTGTGATCGTTCTTTTTTCCTTATTATACTGTTTTTTAGGTGGCTTTTATGAACAGGATTTGTCAAAATTATAAGTATGCTTTTGTAAGAAACTTCTGTTTGTTGATATCAGTTTATTTTAAAAAAAAAATATATATTGCAACTTTTCATGAACCTACTAGGTTAGACATAGATAACAATTACCCACATTATTTGTTTAGGATTTTAAGAATGTTAGGCTTGTAGATCAGAAAACTTGAGATGATTGTGCTTGACTTCTAATTTATTTCAACATCAGGGTGATGGCCTTCAAATTGTTGTGATAACTTAAGATCAGTATTTAAATTATTATATATATTTAACATGTGGGTTTAGTGACTAGCATCTTGTGTCACGCCTTTGCCATATCTACATAGACTACATTAATCTTGTGTCTCCTTTGATAGGATCCATGTTTCGTTTGAAATATGGTCAGGTTATGCAATATTAATTATCTGAAGATGCCTTGTTACAGATATATCACGTCAGTCATTCCTATTGGTGCAATGTTTGCAATGACCCTTTGGTTGGGGAATACAGCATACCTGTACATATCAGTTGCTTTTGCGCAAATGTTGAAGGCCATTAGTAAGTCTGACATCTTTTAATTGTGAACCCTATTAGCTTGCTTTTATCACTGTTATATGTATCAGTACCATCTTGCACATAATGACTAGTATATTGTCTTAAAGCCATGGCCTGTAAAATTTGTTATCTGTTTGGATTGCTTTCACTAGTCAATAGATTCAGTGCTTGCTCATGAACACATCTTTGTATTCACATGCATATGTGCACATGTGCTATTGCATACACTTCGTACTAAATATGTTTAGGGTAAGTAACAATCGTGGATATTTGATTCAAATTATACGAAAGTACTTCTGTACGTCGCAGAGCTTGGAATGGGAGAAGGGGTGGGTGGGGTAGGGAGGAGGGTATAAATGTTACGAAGTAAGAAGGCTTAAGCATGCTTTGGTCTTGGCGGCAGTTTGATTGTGATCTTTTTTAACTTATTACAAGTCTTATGAGTGGAAATATGATGCAGAATTTAATCATCCTCTGTAACCATTCACCCCCCCTCCTTCCCCCAACTGTCCAACCCAAGGGGAAAAGGGAATTTTGTTGGGGAAATTGATTTACCGGGTCACAAAAATGACATGAAATTGAACAAATCAACACTTCGAGGCCTGAACGAAATCAGTTTCCCAAAGTAATATTTCGACCCTGAATTTACACACCGGGTATCACGAAATTACTAGGAGATACAACGAAGACAATCACAACAGTGTGTAGTATGCTTGTGATTTAATGTAACCAAACTTATGAAAATTATGATGATGATAATTAACATAAACAAGCAAAATTAGGAAAAAGAGAAATGAATCTCACGAAAAGGAACTCACCCCATTTTCCTTTTACATCATCATATGATTTAATTACATATTTATAGAAGCAATATTACTCAGCCAAAAGTCACGATGTGACTGACAAATAACCAACCAAAATTCAAGAAGTAACCGTTAAACTCAACCAAGTCTGACTCGAACCCTGCCGGGCCGTCGACCGCCCAACCGGGCCATTCTTGTTGACGCAAAACAGAACCTCTCGCGCCCTGCCGGGCGGTGGACCCAATTTCCAGAAAGTGGTATCGCGCCCTGTAGGGCTGTGAAACCCAGATCCGGGCAGCTCAAGAGCAGCCTTCTTTGCCTTTTCTCAATTGATTTTCCCTTTAAACCAAGGTTATTAGCTTCTAATTATTTTTCTTTACTTAATCAAAATACCTCACCTATATTAGCACCTTCACCTATATTAACATTGATTAAGCAAAGCAAACATGAATATTGTCTCATACACTAAATTATTCAACAAATTTTCCTATATGGTTTGTGATATTGATAGTGATTCATACGTGACTAATGCAGTGCCAGTAGCTGTTTTCATCCTTGGAGTGGCTGCTGGGCTTGAGGTCATGAGCTGTAGAATGCTTTTGATTATGTCAGTCATAAGCCTTGGTGTTATAGTTGCTTCTTATGGTGAAATAAGTATCAGCTGGGTTGGTGTTGTTTACCAAATGGGAGGTGTAGTTGGAGAGGCCCTCAGGCTCATCTTTATGGAGATATTTGTTAAAAGGAAGGGTTTGAAGCTGAATCCTATATCCATCATGTACTACGTCAGTCCCTGCAGGTAATTTTCTTATCTATCCATTGTCCTATGTTTGTTACATTTTTAAATTTATTATTACCTTTTTATTTTATTTTATTTTTATTTCCTGGCAGTGCTCTCTGCCTTTTCATTCCATGGCTATTTTTGGAGAAGCCAATAATGGATGCAAATGGATTATGGAATTTTCCACCTCTTGTTCTCATACTCAACTGCCTTTGTACTTTTGCCCTCAATCTCTCAGTTTTCCTTGTCATCTCGCATACTAGTGCGCTCACGATTCGTGTTGCTGGGGTGGTGAAGGATTGGGTTGTTGTGCTAATGTCTGCCCTGATTTTTGCTGATACAAAATTGACACTAATCAATTTGTTTGGCTATGGAATAGGTAGAGTCTTAATTCCTCAGTCTTATTACTCTAGTTTTAAGTAGCATACATGAGAGGTGGTTCAATCTGTTAAGTTTTTTGAAGCCTTTCCCAAAATGAGCATATAACAATGCTAAGAGTTTTTTGTGCAGCCATTGCTGGTGTTGTAGGATATAACAATCATAAATTGAAAAAAGAAGCTTCACAAGGAACTTTGAAAGAGGCACAACCTGAGGAATTAATACCTATGGTTTCTTCATCCTCTAACAAATAGCTATGAGTTGCTTGGTAAGTGATTTATGCTTATGTTATTACTAGACTTGCCGAACAAAGAAAAGGCCAAAATTGTCAAAGTTGGGTCTTACTTTGAGAAGCATTATTCAGTTCCATGTAATTGGTCCTGTTTTTATTTTGAAATTCCTCGACTTTACTATCTAATTCCTAAACAATGAGTAACTTACAATTGCAACTTTGCTTACAAATGTCTGTCATACATATTCAACTTAGTATTATAATCCAAATGATCAATATATTTTAAATATGTATAAAGTTTTATTTTATTTCTGGGTGTATTATGTGGTGATTTTCTGTATATAAATTTACATGCGGACATGCCTTGTATTATTTCATGGTTTATTTAATGTTTGGAGCATGATACATGCACTGATACAACTTTTGGCAATGAAAACATTAGGATATGCAGAGACAGTATACAAATCTGTAGAAAACTACTAACAACAAAAGGAAAAATAATAATTATACAAGTATATAGACAATTGAATTCCAATATTGAACCTGCTACTACTGATGTTACAGGTTAATACAACAGATATTGTATTCAAATGATAAATTTGTCACACTTCCCACAAACTTTCATTATTCTTGTGTTAATGTGGATTAAGGAATGATCTATATGCATTAGGTCAATTATGTTTTGTTCTCCTGCTAGCCTCTGGTACAGAGTATAATCAAATTCTCTGTTGGGTGAAAAAAATTATAGGAGCCAGATCTATGGCTTGCTTTTCTGTTTCCTGCTAGTGTCTAAGATTTTTTTTCCTTGTTCCATTGGAGCGCACATCTTATTTTGTACAACATAAATCTAACATTTTAATCAGTTGCTGCCATTAATTAGCCTCTTAAAACTGCAGGTACCACTCTTCAGAAATACTAAGATTGTCGCAATGAAACTTACTCTTGATGCATTAACTGCATATAGCTTATCGTTTCTGGTAATACCCACACAAAAACTATCAACTGTGGTATGAGCTGTGGAACACATGCGATGTTCAGATCTATTTCTATCACACGAAGACCGCAGCATGATCCCTTGTTTTAGAATGATACATTTGCCTTGGGTTTCGAAGGGCATGATTCTACTGTGGAATCGTGATCATCTTATTTGATTTTTCCTTACCAGTGACTAATAATTATTGAAGTCATCAATGAATACATTGCTGTATAGAGTCTTGGAATTCAAGCTTTGTAATAGAAGACTAGTCAGGCAGTGGAGCAGTGGCATACACCATGATAGAGCGACTCTTATATTATAAGTTATATATACAAAATGATGCCTAAAAAAATGTCACATTCCTAAATATTATTACTCTCCGTCCCACGAAGTCGAGGCTGTTTTTATTTATTTATTTATTTTTTTCCCGGAATTAAGGAATTGGAAATTCCAATGACCAGAGTACATTTTGTGGTATTTTTGTAGCATGTATAAGTTTGTACTTTATCACTTCCTCGGTTTTTTTAAAGTGTTACATATAGCAAGTACATTATATCTCTTCTATTTTTAAGAGGTTTTCATGGTCTCTACTCAAATCAATTTTTTAAATATATTCTTTTCTCCCACATCATTTACATTTTACTAAATTGAAAATCTGTCAAAACAGACCTTTTTAAGGTGACCTCTTGTAAAAAAGTCCTTAATAATTTTTAAAAGTTGCAAATTAGAACCTTAAATAAAAAAATTGCATAAATTTTTGTATGTGGTTGGCCACAGCATGTAGCCAGCCACAATTTTTATTATATTTTTTTTTAAAAAATACAACTCTTCTCTATCCTCTTTTCTTAGCTTCTTCTCCAAGCCAAATCATATATCACCAACAACTATATCTCTAGTTCACCCATTTTCCTCTTTTTTTTTTCCTCCTTTTTTTTTCCTCCTCTTTTCTTACCTTCTTCTTCAAGCCAAACCACACATCACCAACAACCACATCTCTACTCCACCCATATTCTCTCTCCTCTTTGCCAAATTACTGCAATTAAAGCTCGAAATTGTAGAAATTGGGCATCAAATTGCTATGAAAAATTGTGATTAATTATCCTTAAGATCATCAACAACATTTGAAGTAGTGAAATCGATGAGAACCAAAGAAATGTGAGCTCGTTTTCTTCGTGAAATCTTAGATCGAACATTTTTCGTAAAAAACTGTAGGGTGTTACTAGTTTGGTCAGGGGTTACATGTAGGGTGTTACTTGTTTGGTGGAGGTGTTACTGGTTTGGTCAGGGGTTATTTGTAGGATGTTACTGGTTTGGTCAGGGGTTATTTGTAGGATGTTGCTGGTTTTGGTCAAGGTTACTTGTAGGGTGTTACTTGTTTGTTAGGGGTTAGTTGTAGGGTGTTATTGGTTTGGTATGGGGCCTACAAGCAACCCTTGAATAAGTAACAAGTAACCCTTGAATAAGTAATTCATACGAGTAACCTTTGAAGTAACTCATATAAGTAACCCCTGAATAAGTAATTCATATAAGTAACCCTTGAATAAAGAACTCATACAAGTAACCCTTGGTTTTAATTAACCCATACAAGTAACCCCTGAAAAAAATTAAAAACACAAGTAACTTCTGAAAATACAAGTAACTCCTGTATAAGTAATCCATACAAGTAACCCTTGAAAAAAAAATACAAGTAACCCATAAACAATACGAGTAACCCTAATAAAACCAGTAACTCCTGAAAAATACTAGTAACCCTGACAAAACCAGTAACCCCTGAAAAAATACAAGTAACCCTGACAAAACCAGTAATCCCGTTATGCGCGTGAATAGTAACCCCGTTATGCGAGCGTCTGAATATGTTATTCTTACTGACTTGGCAGCAGGCCACACCACTGCACCAAAAAAGCACTGAAATTTTTATTTATCTATTTTTTAACGCAAATAGGATCATAATATTATATCACATGATAGGAATGATGATGATTAAAATCATCAAAGCATACAGGATAGTTAGAGAGCTTTGCAGCTTCTCATAGTTACCTGAACAAAAGATATAGTCTGAGTGCAAACACATACAACTCAGAGCTATTCGAAAGAAAGTACAACCTAACGCATTAAGAAAGTTTTCAAAGAAAACTAAAGAAGATCTAAGTAGCAGCAACAATAAGGAAGCAAAAGTTGTTGCCAAGGACATAGCTGCAAGGATTAGGCTGGGTGAACTTCTGGAATTTCAGATGCATAAATATGAAAAATTTCAGCAGGAGGGTAGCTGAAAGGAACTCTTTCTCCCACTTTGATCTTAGTTCTTCCCATAGTAGCAAGTCTGTCAGCCACAAAGTTTCATTCTCTGCTTGCATGAAAGATGGTTACTGTCCAATCCCTCTGCAGAAGAGAAGCAACATCTCTTATCACATTACCCAGGTCACTGTCTTCATACAGCTTAGGGTCCTTCAGCTTCTTTGTCAAGGCATCAGCATCAATTTCAAGTTCCAGGAACTTGATTTTCTTATCCCAAGCTGTCAATAAGCCTTATCTTATAGCCAATAGCTCTGCTGAAGCTGCTGTTAGAGCATTGAATTTCATTGCAAAACCAATAATCCAGAGACCTTTTTCACATCTGATCACACCACCACCTCCTGCATTATCAACATTTATCCAAGAACCATATGTGTTTAACTTGTGGTAGCCCTTATGAGGAGGAGCCCACATCCTAGAAACTTGATTGCTAGAAGAGCAAGGTCGATCCAAAGTTGCCTGATTTAATTTCAAGCATAGATAATAATCAACAATGAACTTATTAAAAGTAGATTGGACAAAATTCATTTTTTGCTCAAAAATAGCAATATTTCTAGTGTGCCTAATATGCCATATACAAAATGCAAAAATAGTTTTCCAGGTTGAAGAGTTTGAGAAATTAAAAGCTAACCAATCCGAAAGATTTGTATTGTATAAACGATTTAAATCGATTTTTAAATAGGTGAATTTGGAAAAGAGTAAGGACCATAGAGCTGAAGTATTGGGGCAGTCTCTGAAAATGTGGATAGTATCTTCCATAGGATTTTCACATCTCATGCACATAGGATCAAAAAAAGCTATCTTCTTTTTCAGATTAGAACTCACAGGAAGAATGTCCCTCACTAAATTCCAAAGAAGCATTTTGTATTTATAAGGAACTTTTGTTTTCCACATATTCTTCCAAGAAAAATCAGAAAGGAAAAAAGAGTTTGTTATAAAATAGAGAGAAATATAAGAGAGATTGATAGAGAATATATCTGTTCATATTATTCCATATGATAGGGGTATATATATATACATAGAATATTATAAGTAGGCTTTGCTTAGATAAGAATAAACCCTAGATCTAGAATATTCTGGAAACATACAAAGAGGATAATGGATATCCACACAATATTTTCATAACAGAGTTAAGATTATTAGGAGGGAGGGTTGAATTATAGGCTGATTTAATAGTGAAAGACCCCCCTTTTTTTTTTAATCAAGAGTCCATTGCAACCTGTCAGGAACTTTAGCAATTTTAGGGAGAGGGGAGGCTCAAATAAGGGAGCAAATACTAGGAGGAATAATATTTTTAACATTGTCAAGATACCACTCATTGTTCCTAATAATATTATAAACCCTCCAATGACCTCGAGAGTTAGGAATGTGAATATTAGGGATGAGATATAAAGGGTAGTCACAAATCCAATGATGGTACCATAGAGAGGTTTCCTCACCATCTCCTATGTTGATTCTAATTCCTTTTTTTTTAAGAATATCTCAACCAGCTAGAATGTCTTTCCAAATGATTGAATCAGTGGATTTAGGGTTATAATCCATGAAATTAGAGTAGGTGAGATACTTGTTTTCATAATTTTAACCCATAACTTATTAGGTTGAGTTAATATTTTCCAACCTAATTTAGCCATAAATGACATGTTCCATCTTTGAAGATCTCTAATACCTAGACCCCCTTTTCCCATAGGATCACAAACCACTTTCCAACTAGTACGAGAAATGTATCTAGTTCTATCAACTCTGTTCCATAAGAATTTTTTACATTTTTTTAGAAGATCATTGAGGACATTCTTAGGAATAACATTTGTTTGCATGACATACACAGGATAAGAATTCAAAACAGATTTTATTAGATCAGAGTACATCTTCCAGCCATATTTAGAAACTTAGCTTGCCAACCTTTAATCTTAGAACAAGTTTTATCAAGCAAAGAAAAATAATCCATTTTGTTTAAACGTTTGTGGGAAATTATTATACCCAAATACTTACCAAAATTAGAAGTATTGGTTATGTTACAAAAATCACATATGGATTTCCTAACATTGTAGTTCATTTTCCTTGGAAAGACAACAGAAGATTTTTGGATGTTAATAGATAATCCTGAAATGCATTTAAAATTATCAAGAACATCCATCATAACTTTTATATTATCACATGATGCTTTCCCAAAAAGGAAAATATCATCTGCATAAAAAAGGTGAGAAATATTGACATTTTTAGCAATTTTTAAAGGTTTCTATGAGCCATCATTTATTTTGTCTTGAATCATACACGAAAGACGATCAAGGCATAAAAAAAATATAGGGGGAGAGAGGATCACCTTGTCTTATTCCTCTTGATGGGGAAAAAGAGTCAGTGATTTCTCCATTCCAAAAAGGGATATCTTTGGGGTGCAAATACAACTAAGGATAAGGTTGACAATATTAGAAGGAATTTTAATACTAAGAAGAGTATCCTTAATAAAATCCCATTCTAAGCTGTCAAAGGCCTTAGAGAGGTCAATTTTAAGGCCATAAGATTTGCTTTTTTAGAAGCCTTGTTAAAATGGTGAGCTACTTCTTTTATAATGATAATATTTTCTTCGATAGATCTATTAGGAATGAAATTAGACTGAAAAGGACTAATGAGCTCATTCATTATAGGTTTTAATCTATTAGAAATACATTTAGTAATTAGTTTGTAAAGGGAATTACAAAGACCTATGGGTCTAAAATCTTTCATAGTCATAGGACAATCAGTTTTAGGAATAAGGGAGATAAAGGAATCATTGATAGAAATAGGAATAGAGCCATTGATAAAACAGTCAGAAATGAAAGAAGTTATGGATGGTCCAATAGCAGACCAATGTTTTTGCAGAAAAATGGGTTGGATCCCATTTGGTCCTGGAGATTTGATGGGATCCATTTGATTTAAAACAAATTTAATCCCATCAGAAGATGGAGGAGAAGCAAAATCAGGGCAAGAACAGGAAGAAATAAACTTGGGGTAATGATAAGAAACCATAAGATTAGAACCAGTATCATTAATTTAAAAACATTAATATAATAATCTCTTGCCATAACTTTCAAAATATTTAAATCAGTAATCCAAACTCCATCATTATTTTGCAAAGTTAAAATTTTTCCCCTAGCCTTTTTAATATTAGCAAGAAGGTGGAAATACTTAGTATTGCAATCAGCATTTTTCCTCCAATCTAAACCCGCTTTTTGAGCATATATGATTCTTTCTAAGTTATAAATATGGTTTAATTGAAAAAGCAAATCCTTTTCCAAATTCACAATAAAATAGGAAAAGTTTTTAGAAAGAGCAATTTGGATCCCATCAATTCTAGCAATCAATCTTTTTTTCTATTAGTAATGTTTCCAAAGACATCATGATTCCATCTTGTTATATTATGTAAAAACTCATCCCTGCCCTTAACAAAGTCTAAAGCATGATTATCCCAATTTTTAACAAAAAAGTCATGAAAATCAAGGTGTTCAAGCCACGCAGCTTTACATATAAAAGGGTAAGGCCCTCCTTTTCTAGTATCAAAAACGAAATTAATATAGGAGAATGATCAGAGTAGGTACAAGCTAAGTGAGATACCTGAGTGTTTGGATAGGTATTCAGCCAGTTCGGATTTCCTAGAGCCCTGTCCAATCGTTCTTGAATAAGATCAAGCCCCTCTCTCGCATTATGCCACGTGAATGGGTTACCAGAGAATCCTAAATCCACCAAACATGCAACTTCAGCAAGTTTTTTCAAGTCTGAACACTGAGATTGCCTGAACTTCAAGCCTCCTGATTTTTCAAAAGGATTAGTAACCTCGTTTAAATCCCCTAAAAACAACCAAGGGGTATTATCAGGAGGAAGGGAGGCTTGTAATTCGTTCCAAAGACGGTGTCTTTCAGCAGGAGAGGAAGGAGCATGAACTGCTGCAAGGAGAACCTCTTTACTGTCAGGACTGAACTTAAAAAGAGCGTGAAAATAGTTCCTTGTATGACCCTCAACATAGTCGATCAACTGGACATTGTTGTTATACATGAGCCAAATGCCACCCCTAAGCCCATTTGGTTTGATGAATTCAAATTTATCAAAACCAAGGAGTTTGGAAACCCTTGTATAGCGAGTACCATCACTTTTAGTTTCGAGGATAATGAAAATGCTCAGTTTATGAGCAACAATAACATCCCATGCATGTGGGATAAACTCATTTCTGAATGCACCCCTTACATTCCACATGACAATTTTCATATTTAAATCAGGAAATTCCGAAGGAGGGAAACCATTACAGAACAGGGGATCAAATTTATCCCAATCCGACCAAGTCATCTGTCGGTCCATCAATACAATGTCGTGAATCTTCAGAGGGAGAACCATTAAATTTAGTTCCCTGATCGTGTTAAGCGTCTCCCAAAAGTTGACTTCTACTTGAAGACCCAACACTCCTTTTTTGATCATGAATATTTTCATATGGTGATTTGGGTTTTCTAGATCTTGTTCTATGTTTTCCGATGAGAGATGGATTATTTAGGGGTTAAGAGGAGGTGGGATTAGCACGTGATTCTGGTAATTTGACCAAGCAACTTGTTGTTGAAACTAAGGACAAAGGGTTTGATGATTGGGAGTTGGAGGATTCAGAATGGGTTGGGGGATTGGTTGGGAAATTTGATTTTCCATCATCTTGGAAATTTGTAGAAAAGTGTTGTACATCAATTTAATCTTGGCTGGGTTGGGAGGCGTCTCGATCGACGACCATAGCAGTGGCGTCGTCAGAGGGTTGGTTGGAGGTGGTAATGGAGGGGTTTGAACTAAATTTTCGATGTGAGATGGAGTCATTCGATTGTTGTACGGAAATTGATTCGACAGAGGGGGTGGATGCGGGAATGGGGTGAACGACATCCTCATCAAAAGAGGTTGTGCCAGAGTGACAAGGGGTCTGCTGTTGGCTATCGGTGATGGAATTGAAAGGGGAAATGATGACAGGGATTGTTGTCGTGGTGCTGTGTTCCGATTGATTCTTATCGAACGCCGAGGTGGGCGAATTGGGGTTAACTTGGTTTTGTTTTTCTCCATTGTTGGTGTTTTTTCTGTGTTTAAATTGTTCTGTGAGATTGAAGTCTGTGAAATTGGGTTTAAAATAGGGGAAGTCAAAGAGTTAGCTTGGATTTCCATTGTTTATGCCGAGTTGCTCATTGTCAAATGGAAAAAAGGGTCTTTTGAGGGAGAAGATGGAGAAATAGGGGAAGCGTGTGTAGAGGAAAAGGTGACTGAAGAAGATTTGGGTTTTTCAGGTTCTTTTTCAAGATTATTCTCATCATTGCTTCCCATAAAAAAATATTTAAATCTTGATTGGCTGGGAGTGGGGTAGTGGGATCTAAAATAGCAAAGGAGTTTTTTGTTGATGAAGTTGAATGATCATTGTGAAAAGGGGACTTTGTTATCTTTGTGATAGAACTAGGCTTAGAAGATAGAATGGGTTGAGAATTTTGCTTGGGCTTTAAACCAACATTAGTAGTTAAGCTATTTTTTTTGGTTTGGGTTTTGTTTTGTGTATTTTTTTTTCTTGTTGGAAACTATTGTCCAAGGACCATATTCAGAACTTGAGTGGGAAGCAATGACCCTTGAAACTAGGGAGTTGGAGGTGGATGGGGTATCTAACAAGTTTCCATCAATTTTAGACGGTGGGTTTGGTAAAATACTTTTACCTCTATTATTGGTGTCAATATTTTCAACATCCACTTTTTGTAGGCTACATTTTTCTTTGGTGTGGCCTATTTTTCCACATAAAAAGCATAAACATTGAATATTTTCATATTCAATAGCTTGCCAAGAATTACCTACCCAAACATTTGTGACTAAGGAAGCAGTAAGATCAATATCTAGGCATACCCTCGCATACCTTGCTGTAGTTAGATGATCTGTAGCATAATCAACTCGCAGTGGATTCCCAGCTAATTTTTCTATTTCAAAAATAGCATCCTTATTATAGTATTCAACTGGAAATTTCGGAAATCTGATCCAAACAGTCATCCTATCGAAATGATTCATGGATGGTCCAAAATTTGGCTTCCACTTTGTAATCATTAAGTAGTGATCAAGGATGAACCAAGGACCCCCAAGAAGAGCCCGTTCATAATCATCTATGATTGAGTACCTTACCAAGATCAATAACTTCTAGAGTACCTTTAGGCCTCAACGTAGCCCTAACTCGTTGAGTGATAAAAGATGGGCGAATAGAAATACCTAAGCACTTTTCCCATTAAGGTTAATTTCCATGGTTGCCTTAACTTTTCTAAAGTTTCCTTTGCAAAAGACACACCTTTGGTAGGATCTGGAGGAGAAAAGACTTCATCCTCCCAATCATTAGAGGTGATAACAATTTTCCTTGCTTCGAAAAACAATTGAGAAGAGGCCTGAACCGCTTGTCTAAAGGATTGCTTATTCTGAATCTCAGTAAGTAAGGTATTAACCTTTGTATTAGTATTATGATCAACCATATTGGTATCCATAATACTAAGAGTATCAGGATTGGTAACTAAAGTACCATCTGAACCATGTGAATCAACTAACATGTTGGATTCACACATATTTGAGGTATCACTTGTAGTCATGGTGATACTTGTTTTTTCAGCCATAAGAACGATCAAAGAAAACCTACGAAACAAACTAAGAACTAAGAAAGAGAGGGAGAGAACAAGACAGGGCTAAAGAGAACTCGAACACTGAAAACCTGTAAAAGAAAAAACAATTTGAGGGGAAAGCAATCTAAAACTCTAACAAAGGTTCCTAAGGCCACCTTGCCTAAGCAAGGAGGATAACCCTTGATGACCCTCGAGAGAGTAAGAGAAAGCTAGAGAGAGAAGTAATTTCTTCGATGAGTAGGTTATATTGATGCTAAATTCTTTGATGCTAAAACTATTAGTTTTAAAAAAAAAATTGTTATGAACAAGACCTTTTGCTCTCTTTCAACTTTTAATTGACAATTTTTTTTTCATTGAAAAACACTTGCTAAGCACGTGATTTGATTATTACCTATTTACCAAGATTTTTGTCATTTCTCCTCCCTAATATTTATGCCTATCATCCTAAAACCACCCCACCACTAAAACCAATTGTAGTAATTTCTGTTTGGTGGTGGGGGATAGTAGGATGATTGGTGGAAATCTAGTGGTGGGATGATGATCAGTGGCTAGTGGGAATTAAAACGAGGCAAAAACTGAAATCACGAGAATTCAACGCTAGAAAAACCAAGTCAAAGGTCACAATCCAGCTAAAGGTTAAGTAAATTCTTTCTGGTTAAAGCATTAGAAGTAGGAAGGCCTATGTCAGAAGGAGGATCATTAGAAGTAGGAAGGCCAAGAAATCCGCCCTGACAGGCTAAAGTCGTATCACCTAATCAAAAGTATTACCTAAATCCTCTAACTAATGTAGATAGGGAAGTAGGGTCGAATCCACAGGGAAACAAATCTTTCTATTCCTAATTAATTAATATAAACTAGATTATCAAGTAACCAAAATTATTGTTATTAAAAAGGAACTAAACTAAGGAGATTAAGAGTAGGGAGAAAATCAATAATAAGTAAGCTTAGGGTCACAGGTTCACCAATAATTAATAATGCGGGATAAAACATAACATCCAATAATAAACATTGCACATATAACATGATTAACAGGCTCTCGCAATTTATTAATCAACATAAATCTAACAGGCTCTCTCAATTTACTAGATCTAAGTTTCTATTGAAAATAGCCTTTAATATCAAATTAACATCTACTCGATTCATCAATTCAATATTGCTGTACTTTTACAAGAAAATCACATCTGCTCGATTCATAATCTGGTTGTAAAGCGTTAAAACAATTCAATAAGAAATTATCATGCAATATCAAAATAAACGATAATAAATTATCCCTTCATATTAATTATGGATTCCCCATAAACCCTATAAAGAAAACTACTCAGACATAATTAAAACTAAACTAATCAAAGCAATTAAACAAGACATGATGAAAGAAATAAAGTAAATAGTTGAGATTATTATGTGATATATTTGATTATTATGTCATATGTATATGGACATTTAGTGTTTTAAATATGTTCATACATTTTATGTTTTTTTGTATTTTATCATAATATTAATTAGTGTCCATGTTGTTTATGAACATTATTTTTTATATAAATGTACATATATTAATTTATATTTTGTTCAAATTTCAATTAATATATGATCAGTTCTGTTATACAGGATGTTGGATAAATACAACTGTGAAAATGTTGATTGGTTATGTGATTTGTATAAAATAAAAGAAATGTGGTGTCTTTCTTACTCTAAGAAGTATTGGTCTGGTGGTGTTTTGTCCTCTCAACGTAGTGAAACTACTAATAAGTCAGTTTCACAACGTCTTAATAAGACCCAAGGTTTATGTGATTTTTATCATTTTTTCTTGATGTCATTTTAGTGAAGAAGTAAGGAAGGTGGCTAAGATTATAATACTTTGAGGGGTAATAGGCAACTAGCATTTGCTAATATTGTTATATTAGTTCATGCAAGATCAATGTACACTATTCAAGCTTATGTTCTTTTTGAAGAAGAGTTCATTAAGGGGACTGCTTATGATCATGTTGATAATGGTTTGTGTTTTCCAGAATATTCATATCTTCTTTGGAGACCTGGGAAGGATATGATTAAGCATGAAGTTGTTTTCAATATAGAAACACATGCAGTTTGTTGCACATGCATGTACTTTAGTGAGACTGGTTTACTTTATTTGTTCTCCTTCTCTTCGAGTTTATTATTTGCATTGTGTGCATAATATTTCACAAGAGTATATAATGAAATGATGGACAAAGGCTTCCATGTGTAGTCATGGTATTGAAGAACCTACTTTGAGGACAAATATTATGTCTACTAGTGTTTGGAGGTCACAAACACATAGAAAGTTTGTTAAGTTGATAACAAGTCGTCGGAGTTCTTTGAATGCAAGGGCAGAGGTATAGTGTTATTTCAGTCTTTTAAAAGAAAAGGTTGAGAGCATATCAAGTGCAATTGATTTTAGTGAACCTGTTGAAGAGGTTGAAATTGTTGATCTTGAGATCAAGAATCCTCCAAAAGCTAGGCCTAAAGGTGAGAGGAATGTAAGGCCTAAGAGTACCTTGAAGAAACAGTGAAACAAGGCAAAGGGTAATTGGAAGAGGAAAAAGTCAACGTACACTCCTTACAAAAGGGCTATAGGGCAAGCAGTTGTACAGGTATATGATCATTTAATATTTCAGTATTGAACATTTGCGTTTTATGAAATGAACATACATATATTTTCTTATAGAAACTTGATGAGAATGGGTGTGCTGTTACCTATGCTAATTCTATTAGTGATCCCACTAAATTGATTGTTTTGAGAAATAAACAGTCTCGGGTAAATTTAAATGTAAAAAAAAATATTTATATTTTATATATTAGTGATTTTTAATTGTTTAAAAATATAGGTTGGATTGAATTTAGTTGTTTTAGAAGAAATTCCTTCTAGTTCTAAGGAATCGGATCAGAGTTTTTCTAATGATTTTGATCAGGTGTGTTTGTTTGCTATTAATTATAAATTTATTCTATTTTTATGCATATATTGTGTATATAATATATTATTTAATTTTTGTAGGGTTCTAGTAAAAGCACTGTTCAATCCAGCATATCTGTTGATGTTGATATTTCATCTCTTGCTAAGGTTTTTTTTCCTTATATGTTTATATAAGTGTTTGTAACTGATCATATATTGTTTTAATAATGATCAATTTAATTTTTTTTTCAGGCGAAGGATTTAAAAGTTGTTGAAGGTGTTTCTGCTGTTCAATCTCGTTCCAAAGTTGGTGCAAATAAAGGTGCTGCTGGTGTTAAAACTTACTCTCAAGTTAATTTAGGAGTTCGAATTCATACTAGTGTTCAACCTACGGTTCCTAGGATTGTTCAAACTGCACCTCAGAATTGTTCAAACTTTAATCCAAAAATGTTCAAATTCAATTCTAGAAATGTTCATTCAACAAATGTTCAAGGTATTCCTCCTACAGTTCAAAAAAATTATCAAGGTTCTTGTATTCAAAATGTTCAAGTTATTTCTCCCACGGTTCAAAGAAATGATCAAGGTGCTCGTGTTCAACCTAGTGTGTCAACAAAATCTCCTGCTTGTATTCAACCTACAGTTTCTAGGATTGTTCAAACTGCACCCCAGAATTTTTCACAATTCAATCCAGAAATGTTCAAATCTAATTCAAGAAATGTTCATTCGACAAATGATCAAGGTTCTCATGTTAAAAATGTTCAAGTTATTCCTCCAACAGTTCAAAGAAATGATCAAGGTGCTCGTGTTCCAAATGTTCAATCTAAAAATGTTCAATTAGGTTCTGGAAAAATTTCTTCAAAGTATGACAAGTTGTTAGCCTTTTTTGATACAACTGCAACTAAACGTTTGGATAATAAAGATAAATAGGTTAGTATATTAGATCATTATAAATGTGGATTTCACTTCTTTTTTGTAATGGTGGTTTAAGTAATATTTTGTAATGTTGAATTTTTGGTTTATTGTTTTAAAGACATAAAAATTTTCTGCCTATTTCATATAGTTCTATTTAACTCTATTTTATATATTTTGTAATGTTGAACTTTATAATAGAATTTTATATGTTTTTAAAATTCAACATTCATAAATGATTATATAGTCATTTGTATATGAACAAAAGTAATGATCAATTAGAATTTTATATGTTTTTAAAATTCAACAATTATAAATGATTATATAGTCATTTGTATATGAACAAAGTAAAGAACAATTAAAACTTTATATTATAATTTCATATGTTTTTAAAATTTAACATTTATAAATGATTTTTTAGTCATTTGTATATGAACAAAAGTAAAGAACAATTATCCATTTTATAAAACTTATAAATTTTTTCATTCATAGATTAAAATGAAATATCAACAATAAATTTTTAACAAAATCATAAGTCTATTTCTTAAAAAGAAAATAAAACATCTATAAGTCTATATATAAATATGAACATATACATATTTGTAAATGAACATATGATACTACTCCTTTGCAAACTTTCTTGCTTTCCTTGTATTTATTCTTGATTTAGAGTTTTCTTCAAACAACATCAATTCTGCTGTGTATTGGATCCTTAGCTTCCTAATTTGGTTTAGCTGTTGAAGAAAATGAATTATCAAATTTTAATTTTTAAACACTGTTTTATAAATGAACATTATATCTTATATTATTGAACATTTATCATACTTACATTGTTTGGTTTTAAATCACAAATCCAACTCTCATTAGGATCAGCAGTGAAGGTTTCCATATGCTTCATAATGTAAACTCCACATTTTGTATGATCATCGTTGCTACGCCATTTCATCTTTTCCAAAACAACTGTATAGTATTCAATTCTATTTGCATCTTCATATCCAAGGTGTTTCATGTATTCTGACAATCCTTTTAACTGATAATATCAAGAGAAAAAATTGTTGAATTGTTGGTTTTGTAATGAAGTCATGAACATTTAATAACATATAGTTGATCATGTATCTAAGTATAATTGAACATATTATCTCACCATAAATTTTGGTTGTTCTCATATTTTGCTTGGACTGAGACATGTTGTAGCAGTTTACTATAGTCTATTATATGAATTTTGTCTTCTATATGATTAACGCACAATAGAAAAAAATGTTGAGAAATTGATACAGGGATGAAGACCTAAACAAATAATAAAATAATTTAACATTTGTATATGATTATCATGGATACCTATTTGTATCCAACAATGCTAAAATTTTATTCCCCTTCAGCTCGTAGTTCATTATTTCTATGAAGGATTCAATTCTTTTCTCCCCTTTTTGACAAACTCTATTTGTACACATAATGTGCTGTTGAAATAGACACAAACACATACAAAATTAATGAAATTTTAGCAATTGTAAATCATATAAAACAACACCTATTTAAAAAAGAAGAAAAAGTAACATGAAGCATTGTTGAGAAGTAAATCTTGTTTCTTGGCTTTTTATGATTAAGAAACCTTGCCCATTCATCTATCACGCAATTTGTCACTTAAACATCATCTCCAAGTGTTAATTTCTTGTCTATTGATGTGATTCAACCCATCATAATATAAAAGTGCACTACAATATGAACATTTAGTCATATAAAGGTGAACATATTTTCAAAGAACATATTTAACCCTAAATAAAATTAGTAAAAGTAAATACCTTTCATCTTTTCCACCTAGTGCAAAGTCTACTGCAACTTGGTTCATGGTTTTCTCATCTTTGAATAGATTCTTGTATTTGATCATGTAAGGAGATCGAAAAGCAAGAGGAATTGTTTGCTTTCCACGTTGTGGTCTAGTTGTACATTAAATAAAGTAGTGAAATTAAGAACATTATTTCTTATATAAATGGACATTTATATGTATATAAAAATATATAAAATTGTACCTTTCAACTTTTTGCTTTCCAGTGTTTTTATCCTTTTCTGCAACATGACTTTTTCTTTTCATCATTATTTGACATATTAAATAAGAAAAATAAACATTTAGTAATCTAAAAATGTTTATTAATAATTTTGAACATTAGTTTTATGTATGTACTTTTTTGTTACTTTTTGAGGATGTTGTATCAGTCTCCTTGAGTTCACTGAAATGTCAAACAGTGTCAGTACATATAAATAAAATGATAAGTCATATTATACGTTATGTGCGTTTTCAATTCATAAAATGAAAGATATTTATATAATTAACATAAAACACACGTTCATAATACATATTCAACAAAATATTGAACAAACATACAATAGTTTATGAAATATCAGTTTGAAGTTACAACACAATAGTTACATGAGTTAAATTATTCCATCTAGATAATTTATCCTTACTAATTACATAACCCTAATAGTAAGACATGTCTTCAAGTTTTTACCCCTCCACTTTTTCAACATTCTTTGTTTTTTCAAAAACATCTTCCTTGTCTTGTTCTGCTTCTCCGACTGGATCATTACTTTTTCCACCAATATCTGACCTAGTGTCAGCATCAACTTTTAAACCAGATCTTGCATCTAAGAAGAAATAAAATTAGATATGAATATTATTTATTTGTAAATGTACATTTGACTCTATATAATTGAACATTCTACCAATTCTAGGCAATTCTTCAATATTTTCTTCTGAAGCTGCTGAAGTTTACCCATATCCATTTCTTCAGCTATATTATAAATCATCATTATGGATATATATAAAGTTAATAGTATATACACATAATAATTAGAAATGAAGATTTATTTTTCACTTGTGTGCATTTTTTATTATATAAATGCACATTTTACCATTTGTTGAAGTTGTTGGTGGTTCAATTATATTACCAAGTGTGGAAGTGTTGGGTCATGTTCCTGTTTTTAAAAATTAACAATTTAAAACAATTTAGACCTTAATTTGAGAATTTTTCATATAAAAATTAGAATAGTGTCTTTGAGTTAGAATTTACCATTGGCTGGAGAAGGTGGAGTCAACCCCAAGCTCAAAGCTTTTCTGATGTCATATTCTTGTTCTTTTTCCTTTCCCTTTTTGGTCATTTGCTTCTCAGAAATTTGCTTCTCAGTCATTTGCTTCTCAGTTGTTTTCTTTTCAGATGCTTACATCAGGTCCTTCTCATGTTGATCAAGTGCATTCAGGAAACATCACTGCTAAAGAATTCTTCATCTTGGCTTAGAATCTTTCCTAACACTTCATAAACTTTTTTGACCAAGTCATTTCTAGGAAAGATGTCCTTTGCCTTCACCAATTTTGTAGAAAGCTTTGACAGGTTTGAACAAGTTGTCTTTACTAGGGTTACAAAATCATCCATGAAAACCTAGATTATAAGAATGAATATTCAGAATTATGCAGATGAACATTTAAGATCATACAAATGAACATTTATGTTAACAATTTTGATCATTTTATAACTTGAGCACTTTCTTCAACTTTTGCAGTAATCCTTGGTAGAATTTTTCCTCTCCCAAATCCCAAATCAAATTCAGTCTTCATCCTTTCAAGAACCATGTCTCTTTTCCATGCAGAAATAATAAGAAATGTTCTTGGAGGCCTTTTGTCTAACCTTTGAACCCTATCAAAATAAAGCAGCTACAAGAACAAAGAAAACAAGGAACATTAACAATATAATAAATGAGCATTTATCTAAATATGAATGAACATGTTGTATCTAAGAATTTACCATCAGAAATTGCAGTGGGCCTTTGTAGAAGCCCTTACCTTACTGCTTTCTCTAATATACATGACTTCTGATAAGTGAGTCAAATACATACTGACACCAATTAAAATTCTTTATTTTTTCTTTGTCCATCATAGATAAAAGAAACTTGAAATGGCATTGATTGTTTGATTTGCATTTCATCATGCAGTTCACAGCCATTGCCAAAAAGTTAGTTATGAAATGTTCACTTGGTGGTATTTTGTTGATGAATTTTTCATGTATGTATCCATTCACAATCTGTAAACATAATGAACAAAACGTTTACAATTTTGATCAGACTTTCTCCAAGATTTTCCTAACCAAGATTTTCTCCATTTCTTCAGAAATTCTGCATACTCGTCACTAGCTTTATCAGACTTTGCCTCGACAATTGGAATTTATCCTGTAGGCCACTACCCTTTCATCCTCTACCTCAATTTCTATTTTTTCATTTCTTTGGCAATTCAAAAGTTTGGCTACTTTCTTCAAAACTTCCCAATATCCAATTACAGAACCTTTGATCAAGTTGAGGTAAACTGATGTCAAGAAGTGATCCTAACCCTATATCAACAACTTGTTGTTTTTGCTCAGCTGTCATTTTATCTATCCATTGCATGAACTTGACATGTTCTCTTTTTAATGCTTTCTCTTCCTCAAATTCCTCTTCCTGTATTTCCTCAACTTCCTCAGTTTCCATTGCTTCAACTATTTTAGTTTTCATTTTACTTTTCCGCTACCTTTGCTCTTTCCTTGATCATACACTACCAACTTTTGCTCCCCCTTTTCAGCCTTTGCCTTCACTAACTTCTGTGCCTTCCCCTTTTTTGCCTGTTTCTTCTTTGGATTTATTTCCTCCTCCTTCTCCTCCTCCTCCAACTCATCATCTTCCTCACTGACAGGCTTTGCTTCAACTTTATATATTGACTCTTCACTATCATCTCCACTGTCAGTTGAACTTTCATCAGTAGGATCTTGAGATGGTTCATCAGATGGTACTTCTTGTATTTTTTTTTCCTCTTCCCAACATTTTTCTTGGCAGGGCTGACAACTGAAAATTGAAATTTATATGAAAATCATCTCCATATGATTTTTAATGTATTGAAAATGAACAGTAAGCAAATTACAAAATGAATTTTTTTTTTATAAATGATAATACTATATATGGAAATTGAACATTTATAATATATCATTATATACCTGTTTTTCTTTTGCCAACAACCTTAGAAGTTTTCTTCACTTCTTTTACAGTTTTCTTTTTTCCACCTATATAATGAAATAGAAAATTAATAATACATTACTACATATGATCATTCTATATATTAAAATTGAACATTTACCCTTTTTGCCTTGTACAACTTTTTCAGCAGGAGCACCTGGCATTATTTTAAGAGGTGCCGCAACATATTCAGCAGGAGCACCTGCCCTTTTTTTTATTAGATTAAGTGCTACAGATGGTGAATCAGCTTCCTTTTGAATAGAAGATGTCCTTGTAGACATTCTTCTTTTCTGACCTTTTTTCGCGGTTTCTTCAGCAGGCTTAACAACCTCCTTCTGGCCTCCCTTTTTAGATTCATCCAACAGAGCATCTATTTTGTTTTTAAATTTTATGTTAGTAAAGTTAAAAATGTAATATTTATTATTAAATAGAAAAGTATTACCTTTTTTAAAAAAAAAAAAAACAAAACAGAAAAGTATTACCTTTACCTTGGCTTCTTGTAACTCTACCACTTGACACAACAGGGCTTTTATTTTTGTTTTTCCTTGCAACCATTTTGTATCTTGATTTCCTTTTGGTTGACTATTCACTCTTTTGAGATGAGGCAGTTGTTTCCTCACTTAATTTTGTGAAATCTTTATCCACATCTTCATCTAGCATATGAGTTTCATCCTCAATTTCAACATAATCAGATGTCATTTGTGATGCATATTAAATGATCAAATATAAAACATTAAATAAACATTTATGTAAATAGGATGACAAATGTTTAATATATACAATATAAATGAACATTTCAGATAATGAATATTACTTTTTTTAGGCTTTCATTTGCAGTTGTATATTTCATTTCTTTAGGCTTTGTTATGTCTTGCTTTTGTCCATCTATATAAAATTAATTAGTGGAAAATATTAATCTTCTTGAACATTTCATATTATGCAAATCAAAAATGACAATTTATGTAATGAATATGTACATTTTTCAATATTTACCTTTCAGATTTGTTGTCTTTGGAAAGACATCTTCCATAGTTTTCTCTTTAGGGCTTTTCTCTTTTTCAGGCCCTTTTTTTCCTCTTGTCCTTCTATGTAAATTTAATCAGTCAAAATTGAAATTTATTAATCTTATTGAACATTCAATATTATTCAGATCCAATATGAACATTTTATGTAATAAAAATGTACATTTTAAAATTTTTACCTTTCAAATTTGTTGTCTTTGGAAACACATCTTCCACAGTTTTCTTTTTAGGGCTTTTCTCCTTTTCAGGCCCTTTTTTCCCCTCTTGTCCTTCTATGAAAATTTAATCAGTTAAAATTGATATTTATTTATCTTATTGAACATTCAATATTATGCAGATCCAATATGAACATTTTATGTAACAAAAATGTACATTTTAAAATTTTTACCTTTCAGCTCTATTTCCATAGTTTTCTCTTCTACTGGCCCTTTTTCTTTCTGTTTTGCTTCACCTTCAAAAGTAATAGTATTGTTAAAATTGATATTAATTATTAACCAAAAATATTCAATAAATTTGAACATTTACCTCTCTTGATTTCCTTGCTTGCCTTTTCCATTCTTTTGAGATTTTTCATAATTTTGATTATCGATTCTTTGTACTTCCTGTAAATGTATGATACTGTTATATAATTTTGAAATATCTATATTATTTTATTATATTAATTTACTTATTCAAATTTGAACATACTTTGGGTTTCTCTCTATGTCTAAATTTATTTGTTGCATCTTGTCCTTTAAGGTTATTATTTTTTATTTATTTTTTTTCCTTGCACGATTCTTTTAATCATCATCGTTGGGTTTTCTGATAATTCATTTAAAACATGTTTGAATTTACAATTTTGATTAAATAAATTAAAAATGAACACAAAGTCCATAGAAAATGAACATTTAACTTATCTTACTTTTAGCCAGGTGTAGTCACCCTTTTGTGTCTACCAAAACCAAACCCGGTGATGAGTACCTTTCGCATCGAATCATAATAGAATGAAGTGAAAGTGTAGAAAGTCTAGTGTTACGGATAGTTTTAATTTCTTTTCTCTTCTTTCTGTTTTTGAAAATCTATTTTAAGAAAACAACCAATCCAATTTGGTTTGGTCCATAGCAAGGGTCCAATAATGGTGTAGTTGGATGGGGCTTGAAAAGAGCTTTCCAACGATATATTATAAGCCCAATTCTGATGAATAACGAAGAAGTTATGACCAAATTACTAAACTAGGCCGATTTTATACTTATATGCGGCCCAATGATCTAGAGGAGGGCCTAATATGGATTTATCATTCCTAATGCAATTAGAATTGATTTTAGTCTTCTAAATTCTTCTAGATGGTTCTTTTCATTCCTAATTCAATTAGCATTGATAAATTGACTTTGGTTGACTTTTTAGAGTTTTAAGCAGAATAAAAAAGTGTTTTTAAGGAAAATACAATTTTGCCCCTCTTTACGGCTAAATTTTATCAGAATTAAGAAAAGACGTGAAAATAATTGTTAGCGCCTGACGACAGGGATTAGCGCCTGTCACTAATGCTTGGCGCCTAGCACTAGCCTTAGCGCCTGGCGCTAATGTTCAGCGTCTGGCGCTAACCTGTTTTATCCTCGTCGAAACTTTGATTTGTTTTTCTATCCGTTTGGTTGATTTTCTCTATAAATAGCCTCTTGAAATTCTGTTTTCAATCATTAATTCTATCTAATTCTCATCAACAATCACCAAATATCATATATTCTCCAGTTTTCTTATTCTCTCTAGGTTTTAAGAATTCTTCTCTCTCTAACTTTCTATACAAAATTCCGCATTCACAAGATCTAGAAACACCTAGCCAAATTCGAAGTTGCCTTCGCCCTACACGTGAAAGGTTTTAATTTCAGAGGGTTTGGTCCCAAATCTCTCTTTCAATTATTTAATTTAATTGTTTGTTTTATATTTTCCTTGAAGTTACTAACGTGTGTATTTTGTTATTAGAAAGAGGTACGAGGCATCCAAGTAAGTGCTTTAATGGTTTTAATGATATTATGATATAGAAATCATGTCTAGTTGTTATTATGATTCCTAGTGTCATGTTAGGGTGTTTTGATCTTCCTAGTATCATGTTTAGGGTAACATTAATATCAAATATGAAAATTGCGATGCTTCCTATATTCTTTCCTAATATTCACGTTAGTATCATGTTAGGGCTAAAGCTTTGATTTTTTAATGTTTAGTGACATGCTAGGGTTTATTATTAATCTTGTTAGTATCATGCCTAGAATCTTGCTATTATTATGCTTTAACATGATTATTTTAATTATTATGATTGTTATTTAAATTATGATTATAATTATTATTATTATGATTATTATGTTGCTTGATTATATTTATTATTTATTGCTTGATCACGCTTTTTGTGCATGTTTAAAGGGAATTGGTTTTTATAATCACGCTTAATAAGATAATTAATAATCTTGTTTAGGGTTAATTTGATTATAATTTAAGTGATCGCCAATAATAGTTTTGTTTGTGCATTAATATTCAACCAACATAGATAAACAGCTTTAGGGTAAACCTATTGATTGCATGTTGGTCAGAAAGCGCACATGAATACGATCAGAATAAAGTAGAGGTCTATTATTAGGGCAGGTTCAATCTCTTTTAGGTTGGATTTGTACGTTCATCCGCAAACTACCAGTCATGGTTCAAGACCTATTGGAGTTGATGATATCCTGGATCGTTAAGGGGTGTAACCTTCACCCTGTGAACGATTTACAAGTTCCTAAAACTTGTTAGCGACTCTTTTGCTCTATCTTCTTTCCCTTTGGACCCCACCATACTTTAGTGTATGATCACAGTGGGGCTTAAGCTAGGGATAATGCTTGAAATATTTACTACAGTTTTTGGCGACTCCACTGGGAGGATTTCTATTTTAATTCCTAAAATTTATTTTGGCAATGATTTGGAATGAGTGGATGAGACTCGAAAAGTTCTAAGTATTTCATGTGCGTAATTTGTATTAACATTATTGTCATATGCATAAAAAAGATCTCATTGGAAAGACCATCCGTAATGAGTTAAAATATAGGAACTAGCGTCAGGGAACAAAGTTTAGCGCCAATTATTTGACTTTAGCGCCAGACGACAGCTTCTGTCGCCAGGCGCTAAAGCCAAATTATGGCGCTGGCCTCTGTTTGCTGGCGCCAAGTTCTTCCAATACCGAGCCAGAAATATGCGTTCTAATTTCGACCAGTTTTTAGCAATGTTTGCTCGATCCTACTTCCTGATTGAGTTTTCTCACTTTTCTGAAACCCATATGTGTTCTACATATGGACATAACCCTCTGGGAATTCATGCTCCATCTACCTGATTGAACGCTCTGAGCATCAAAGGGTACGTCCGAGAATGTTGAATTCACCAAACCATGGAAGAGAGTTTTTTTTAAACTTGCGGTTTCCCATCCATTCGCGCCAACCCTTCACGGTTAGGCTTCCGTGCGGTGCATTAGGACAATTAACCATGGACCCTCTTTTGACTAACCTATATCCCGAACTTTAGAGAGCTAGAGCCATGGTTAGGTTGCAAACTCATTGCATCATGTTGTGACTACTTGACTAATTGTGCATTATTGGTTGTGCATACTCTATGTGTTTTTCCTAACCGTTCGTTTGACTTGTGTTAAGATTAAATAAACTGATTTATGACTAAAAGAAATTTGCCTAATTAATTAATTAATTTGAGTAATTAAAGTCTAATAATTTAATCAGAGTTGACTTAGTACGACTTTAGGCATACCCTATAGAGTAATGATACCGAAAGCAGTTCCAGATCGACGTTCCAGCAATGGTGCCAAGATTAAAACTGCAGCGCCACTCTGTGGAGCGTAGTGCCTAGCGAGAGTCCTGTCGTTTGGCGCTACACTGCAAAGAGAGGTGCCAGTCTTGTTGTTTTGGCGACAGTTCGGTTTATTGCTCGAGTCATCACCTTATGTCTAATTGAACAGTTTGCTAGTCAATTTGGTTAATTTTTACTGGTAATTATACCGTGTCAAGTCATTAATCGAGTCTAAGCACTAAGTCCCATGGTCTTACACAAGAGTCAAAGCATGTCACTTACACTCACCATATAAAGCACACACTAATGCATACTTTGACCATGTCTAAGGGAATCTTGTATGCGCGTATTTTCCGTCATTTTTTTAGGGGGGTAAGTCGGATATTAATCCTCCAATTAAACCACTTGTTTGAACCCTATAATTAATTCCCAAAAATGTACACCTTATTTTTGCCAAAAATATGCACCCTAATATGCACCCTATTTTTTCTTTTTAAAAAAAACGTAAATTCAGAGTCATTTTAAGTCAAGTCATAAAAACAAAAATGGTTTAATTTACAGCATGTGGTCAAAAAAGGAAGGGCGTTTGATCAAAGACAACCTTTTTATTCAAGTTCAACTTTTAAACAAACCAATCGCTCGTAATAGGAAAGCTAAGACAATAATGGCAACTCAAGAGGAAGTTAATGAGCTCAGGAAACAATTAATTATTGTGACTGAGGCGTTAAAGGTTTTAAC